AAGATATTGAAAAACGAAATGTTGCTTTTTTCTCAACATTTCGTTTTTCAATATCTTCATATGAATATACGTCAGATGGTACTAGTTTACCGTCTGCGAAATAATTGTTAACAATTCAGCATTGGCAAGAAAGGTTTTTGTTGTTTTTCTTTTTTTTTGACCTTTCGTTTTTCATTTTCAACCTTCTGTGAAGTTCGATGCCGGCAGACCAAGCTGACAGCCCTTTGGAAAATAATTTATTTGTTGAATATTGCAAAGCAAATTTTTCTTCCTGGTTTTAGGTAAGTGATATTTATGTTTTTCAAAAATGAATGTAATACTGCAAGTAGATAGTGAATTTCTAGTTTTTAGAGTCGTTACCGACGATCGTAAATAAACTGAAGCATCTTGATAAACCTTTACTATTACCCAGAACCCACACACAAAATTATCTCTGTTACATTACTGAGTAGCATAGCTTTTACATCTTTGTCATCTTTTTCAAGAACCTTTTTAAGAAAAGCTGATATTGATGGTTTTATTGAATTCTCTCCTATAGTATGATTTTTTCCAGTTTTAGCAATGAATAAAGAAATTTGATAACTAGCCTCATCAAGAACACGATTATATAGACTAAATTGGGACTTTAAGGTTGTTCTCTTTTATTCATGTTATTAAAATATACATTTCGATTTGAATTTCAAAACTAATCTAATGTGAAGGATGAATTTGATGATTTTCAACATGTTTGTTAATATCAGGCTCGAATTCACTCAAAAACAGTTGTTTTTTTAGTTAGCAACGTTGCCACAGCATTAATTCAACGTTCATATAGAAAAGGTGATGGGAATGCTCTCAAAAATCGTTGAACGATGGACCACAATCCAGGGTACAATTGCGTCGATGTCATTCTTGTGTAAGAAAATTGGCTACAAAAGCAGCATTGACATTTTTTGTTTTGATCAAATTCAAGTCGTCACCTTGAAGTTGAAGATTGACATCATTGAATAATTTATACAGGTCTGTCAAGTACTGTCAAGTCAAATATCATTCTTTGAAGAGATGAGGTTGTCATGCAATTCTTTTTCTTTATTTTCCAAGAACTGCAGAGATAGATTTGTAGCAATTTAGCACCTCTTTTATTCTCACCCTTCATTAACGACATAGGAAATAATATCCATAGTAACTTCTTACTCTTTGCAGATGATTAGAAAATCTTTCGGCCCATTACATCACAGGAGGACTGCTTAATCTTACAAAAAGACCTTGACTTTTTGTACCTTCGGTGTACCGCAAATATCTTCCCCTCAATAGAAACAAATGTGAATACCCAAAATACACTCTTAAACATAATGTTATTTCTAATGATTACTGCATAAATAACACACCTCTTCAAATAAGCACTCATCAAAGGGATCTTGATGTCACATTTGACCCTAAGCTGAGTTTCTCCATTCACTATGACACAATAACATGCTCAGCCAAACGGATGCTAGGGCTCATCTATCGTAACTGTAAGAATTTTCGTAGCAGAGACAGTTTTTTAACTCTCTTCAATGCTTACGTCAAATCTCGGCTGGAATATGCCTCCCTTATATGGTCACACATATACAATGTCCACATAAACAAAATCGAGTCTATACAAAGAGGCTTCATGGAATATATTACTTACAAGCTAGAAGGAGTTTACCCTGAACCAAACATGGACAACAGAATACTACTGAATAAATTAAATCTATTATCTCTTCAAAACCGAAGAACCTACTACTCTATGATTTTCATTTATAAACTAGTGAATAATCTGATTGACTGTCCCGAACTACTCTCCCACTTCAACTTTCATGTTCCACGAATCAATTCGAGAAATGAACTGACTTTTTATCTACCAAATTCCAGAAAAAACATAGAAACTGAAGGAAACTTTTTCGGAATCCGTATTATTCCTTTCAATATAAATAATCCATACTGGCAAATATTGTTTACCTTGCTGATAATTCAACATGGATATTCAATTTTTAACATTCAAACAAATTTAAATGTTTCAGAAATATTATTTTCAAGTCTTATTCGAAAGTCGAAAGGCATGGCTTTCAATTTTATTCAGATTGTTGTTGTTATCGCCTTCCTAGTTAAATGTTGAACAGCTAGGAGTATGTCAATCCATCAATGCTGCTCATATATCATTTCATGTGAATGGTACTATTTTCCATCGAAAAGGTAATATAAAGATATTAGTGAAAAGATCATAGAAACCGTCATATATAATTATTCAATTGCTCCATTCATCTTGCGGAGATTTATCTACATAAATTACATGAATTGTCAATATACAAAACTGTCTTTTCGTTGGTTAACTCATCATGACGATGCCATTTCATTCACTAATTCTCCTGGAAATGTTCCGCTCACTACGTCTGGATTGTTTGACACACCGATGTCGCAATCAAATTTCCAAAGAATTTTATCTGGAATGTTCTCTTTTTCCACACCACCTTGTACTCTCTCGCATGCAGTGTTGATGAATTGTTGTTTGGTTCTGCCTATCGTAGAAGTTCTGACTGCTGTCAATGATGAACTACCCGACATCAAAATTGCAGCCTTTGGTAACCTGAAATATCGAAAGAGAAACTTTTTCATGAGTATATTTTAACGGGATTACAATTTTAGGTTAATGATAACTTCGATATAGAGCAATCCAAACCACGTGACCCGATATGGCGGCGTAGGACAAACAATCTGATTATTGCCATAAGAGCATCATGGGTTTTGGTGTCGTTCGCTATTGTAGAGTGTTTTTACACATTTTTGGAGCTTTTGTGGTGTTTAAATTCGATCAAAATGGAAAGTGAATTCTTGAAATCACTATTGCTGAACAGCAGAGACGTTGCTAAACGGTATGCTCGAAAAAATACACCATCATCTGTTTAAATTATTATCATTGTGTTACAGATATACAGGGTGTTCCTTAAACACATGCTAATATTAAAGGAGGTAATTCTTAGACCCATTTTAAGGAAAAAACGTCCTATGGACGTATGTCCTAAACGCCTTAACTTTTGAGATACAGGGTGGCAAAGTTTTCAAAAATAATCAGTTTTTTAATAATAACTGAGATAATTTTGTAGACATCTTTGGCATATTTGGTACATATGTTCCATTGCTTTGTACGGATATTAACAAAAAAACAGGTGTAAGTATAAAATGAAGTTCAGTATAAATTTAAATAATGTATAACTATCACTGAAATACATTGAATAATAATGTATACTAGGATTTGAAGACGAAGTCGTAACTTGTATTGTAGTCCTCGATATTTGAATATACAAAATGTATGTAAAATATAACAACAACCCAACTTTTGGATCTAATTCTATTTCACATAATTAAAGCACCAGGAATTTCAATTTTCTGTGAATATCAAATCACAAAATCACGCACTTTTAACATTCACCAAGATATGAGAGACATTTGACATTGAAAAAAAGGTAATCAATGAAACCAACGATTCAGGGGTCACATCTTTTCTAATTCAAAAAATGAGCATAGCCATCCAACGAGGAAATGCGGCTTCATTTTTTTGGAACTGATTTTAAAAAACTTGATGGATTAATAATAATAATAATAATGAAACGTCTTTATATAACTAAAGTAAGAACATACAGAATATACAAAGAAAATATTGAGGTGAATGGGCGAATGCCATAAATGATATTGCAGTATGAAACTTTCGAAATGATTAGCTCCTCACATAATTTTAGTTTGAGTGAGTAAGTCCCGATTTGGAAACAGTTGCCTCAAGATGTTAAAAGACGTTTGGATCAAATGGTTAACGTCTTCTGTAAAGCGTAGTTCAGAAACAAACCACAGACCTAAGTTCTTTACTTCAGTTACAAGAGGCACACCGTCACCATTTTTATGAATATAAAGACTATTTTCGCCAATATCTCGCAATCTTTCCGGTCCGAAGATTACTGCCGTTTTTTTGATTTCAATTCATGAGCCGATTTAATATCAAAAATGGTCTGTAGATAACTCACGAATAATGCGGTTTTGAGCGGAATCAATGTCAGCGAACTGAAAAGAGAAGTACGGTTGAGTATCATCTGCATAGTGATGAATGTTGCATTTTCCACCGACTGATGGAAGTCACAAATATATAAGCTGAATAGTAAAGGACTAAGGATGGATCTTTGAGGAATACTTTTAGTTACGGGCAGAATCTCTGAGCTGATACCGTCCACCATGACTCTCTGAGTTCGATTCGATAAGTAATTTCTAACCAGAGACAGCGCATTCAGAGAAAAGCCGAAGAAGCTGAGTTTATCACACATGATGTCAAAGTCAAGAGTGTCGAAGGCTTTAATGTAGTCCAGTTGTTCTCGCCTTTGTTTTAATTTAAGTTAAGGACAGTCCGGCAACATTGTATTCTTGGGCTGACCAGAGAGTGGGAAAACAATTCAATAAGATTTTATATTATCATCAATGCACGTCGGGTGTACTTTTTTCGGCGGTGTTCTTTTTATTTGTTGTGAGTTATTGCAAAAGGTCGACAACGGTGCTAGGTTCGGCTAGCTGGTCCTTTCGAAAAAGAAGAAATTGTGGAATTGCTCATATTTCCTTATCCCAACTTTCCTTCCCAACCAAGTTTACCGAGTGAACACAGTTGGACTTACAAGCCAAGGAAAAGTATCAACAACCAAATCTCAATCTGTGAGTATAATTTTCAATTTCACAAATTTCCAACTGAGCTAAGAGGGAAAACCAGTAGAAGATTAAAACTGAGTTTCAATCTTCCTCTTTGAAGATGATCACTTGGTGATCGAAACATGTGTCGAGGTGTTGAAAATAACGATTTGGTGTTGGGAAAAAACTCCAGTAATATTCATTACTACACCAAAGGTTCCAAACAGTGCATCATGAGACAATGATCAGTTGCAGTTTCAACAAAATTATTGATGTCTTTATTAACTTGTGCACAAGCCTTGTCAACGTTCAATATCATCTCATTAACCTTTGAAAGACAAGGTAGAGAAATCCGAAGGAAAGTTGCACGTAGCTAAAGGAATAATCATACCGTTCTTCCAACAACTTGGGAAAACACTCTTAGAGTTAAAGTGGCATTGTTGAGAAAGGTTAATGGATCCAATAGATGACTACCTAAGAGATGGATCATCAGGAGTGAGATATCGTCTGAGCTGACTGTGTTATTTTTGAGTCGATTCAGGCAATTATGTATAACTGCAGACGAGATTTCACTGAAGTAAAAATGTTTATCAATTACTGAAGGAGAACGGTATCGTTTTATTGATGAAATTTGATAGTTTGAACGGCCAGGTTGAGGAATTGAACTAAAGTTTTTGTTTAATGATGTTGGCGTCTTTCAAATGATTCGGGACATCTGTATTGTTACTTTCCTTAAAATTTTCAGTGATTTCAATGTGTTCCAAGTTGAAATCTACATGTTTCCTGGAAACAAACTTCATAAAGGAGAGGAAGGTGATAACAAACCACTTCATGAAATTGGAACAAAAGCAAATGGAAAAATGATTTCATCTCATTTTGAAATTCAAACACGAAAACGAAAAAATGCATGTAGAACAACGTATTTTGAATTGTCATTGCTGAATACTATGCTTCTTCTTTGTCATATTCTCGAACGTTAACTCCACAACACTTTTATAAATACGTTTCTCATTGCAATTGCATGTTAAAACATTAGGCCCCCGTTGAACGGCCATGTTTTTTCCTGTACACATTGAAAAATCACCCGTTGAAACGATAGAGCCGTGTTAAATCGTCATGTTTTTTTTTGAATGACGTATTTTTTTACACATTGAACAATCACACGTTGAAAATATAGAGCCCTTTATACCTCGATGGCAGCCATGTTTTCTCTTTTCCGTTGGTAGCCATGTTTTTTCAACGCTCTATTGAATACCGGCCGCCTTGTTTCTTCTTCAAGCCTATTTTTCCTTCATTATTATTGTTATACCATTATTTTTATAATTCAACCATGTCGCTATCATGCCTAATTTTTTACGCGCCAACTTGGACAGCTCTTACTGCCCTTCTGATATGTTGGATCTTACGTTGAAACGTTAGACCCTCCATCGTCGTCGACGTCAATTTTTTCTATCCACGCCTGATTTCGAAAACCCGGCAACGCCTCATAAGTCACATCGCCCCCATAAACAACGCTTTATATTACAACCGACAACGCCGAACTGTTTGCGCTACCAAACTTTTGTTATCTTTGAAACGGATCAGCTCGATACCACCCGCATCTTTCTCACACTCATATGACAAATCGGCCCCTCCCACTTTTACACACACACTCTTGTGAAAAGTGGAGGAGTGTGGGGTTCAATGCTCCGGCCACTCCTACTGGTTTTCAAAGATTTTTTGAAGTGTCCAGTAATACATCCTTCAGTAAAACTCGTTGAGCTTCTTGAGTTGAAAAATATTGGCAATGTGAAATGTGTAATCCGATGTTCATCCAACACGAGATGGTTTTTGGAATATTCGGGGAAAGGTGAATGAAATATATCAATACTAGTATTTCTAGTATGGAGAGTGCTTCAATCAAAGCCTTTGCAGAAGTCATCAAAGAATTGTGATCTCAAGAGTCATGGCTCAGATAAGATTATAGATAATTTCGTTGATCAACTGAAATCCACGATGAAGAGCTTACTCTGTGGACACTGTACTCACAATGCTTGAATTCCTTCACAAGAGAGGAAACTTTGAATGGACATGGGAAACCGACGAGTTGGAGATGCACGACAAAGTACCTATCAATCCATAATTTTCCCCGTATTTTAGTAATTCATTCAACAATATTCTCCTTAATGGAAAAAATTAAATGTTGCATAACATGCGGACTAACTGGATCGATGGAAGACAAGATGCGGAAGAGTTTCTAGGTTTTCTTTTGAATGCACTCAATGTTGAAATGTTTGAGCTAAATGAGTTGGTTAAATATTATATTGAAGACGAAAAACCTCTCGTTGACTCTGCTTCGAGCAATGGTTCAAATAATGTATGGAAGATAATAGAATCGAAAAATTAGGGACATCCAACCAGAAGAATCAACTTCACCAGTACACCGATAAGTGACATCTTCGGGTGGCAACTAAAGTCGAGCACTCATCACAACGGGGACCACATCACTGAGAATATACAGCCTTTCCTCACCCTGCCACTCAACATTGAGAAAGTGAAGACCGTCAGAGAAGCGCTTAAGGTACTTGTCTCCAAGAACATTTTAGAGGGAGTGACTTCGTCGAAAACAAACGAGAAGGTCGAAGCGTGGGAACAAATTACGCTCTGTAAACTTCCCGTTATCCTTATTTTGCATCTGAAGTTTTTCGAATACGGCCACGAGCGTTGCACGAAGATTATCAAGGCTTTGGATTTTGAATTCGACTTGAAAATTGATTCGAATTTGCTATCGTCGGAAACATAGTCTCCAACAGAGAAGGAATACAAGCTATTCGCCGTCGCGTCGTTTACCACGAAGGCAAAAATGCCAACCTTGGACTCTACGTGAACGATGTCTTCTACGTCGGCTACAACTGCTGGATTAGGTACGACGATTCTTCGGTCAAGACCGTCCAAGAAGAAGACGTATTGAAACCCTAGGCACAGTATTTTGTATACAGTAATTTCATAAAGGCTGATTTGTGGTTTGAATTTTCCTACGCGCAGACCCACGCGTCGATGTCTTAGGTCTGTGCAAACGACGAGTTTAAGACAGGCATGCAAACCTTCCATAGTTGTCGAATTTCATGGGTTTCACCCAACCTACTGTGGTACATTATTCTTTATAGTAGAAGTGACAACGCCGCTTCGTCTGAAATATTTTAGGCGTGTAGGTCATATTGATTTATGCATATTATGGAATTTTCAGGTTGATCCGTTAAATAGGCTAATTAACGCTCATCATGAAAAGCCCTGTATTCGCCATATTGTTTCTACACATAACTTCGTATATTTGTTAAAATAATTTCAAAATGAATGTTGAGCCTAGTTTCGTTAAAACTGACTCCGACAACTTACCAAGAGTCGATTTTGAAATGATCGATGAATTTTACTTGAAAAATTTGCAATACTTTGGTACCGAAATAAAGAATGAAAACCATAGAAAACCATAGATCTCTTAGAGTTTCGTTTTTTGGAACACTCAAAAACTCTTTGTCTGTTATGTATGATCTGTTTTTACAACTAGGTATAAAACATATTTAACCATTTTGGTGGTAGAAATGGTAAAATTCAATTCAAAAATAACCTAAAAAAATATTTTTCGGAATGTGAACTAATGACACGGAATATGCAGCAAAATAGGCACCCGCTGAGACCTATCTTTTACAAAAAAAGTCATCAATTAGATAATTGTAACACTTGTATTCACACAGAGTTGACAACGATAACATCAAAAATGGCATCTGCCAAACTGGATCATCAGCCCTCTGATTGGATATTGAAAACCAATACACTTGGCAACTCCGCTCTAGACACGATCAATTTTATTGGTCAACAGACACGCGGCCAATTTGAATTCTTGCTCTTCGAATTGTTCTTTTTTATGCAAATATAAAGAAATCTTGAGACCGATTAGGCTTGATTAGTATAAAATACCCCTAACTCAATCAGTTTATAAGCAAATCAGTATCATTTTCCGTAGCATGAAACAGGCCCATTATATTCAAAAAACCAATCATCCACTTACCTTGAGCTGGAAGGTCCACCATCATGGTCAGTGATTTTGGTAGGTGGACATACATATCTTCCAGATTCCATCCGTCGCTAGGTGTTGAAGTCATAAGTTATGGGAGATTTCTTCGCATCTACCATTGGTAACATAACCCCTTCCTGTAAAAGTTATAATATTGATTTCATTGATTAATAATTGAGCATCTGTAATTGAGATACGGAAACATAATTGAATTGGCTTTATTTAGTTGCATTCGATAAAACATTGAATCCTTGTTCATGATTCTCCTGGATTTGCAGCATTTTGGAAAAGATACCACATTTGAAAATACAATTTTTGGTTCCTGCATCAGCGTATTGACGAGTGAAAAAAAATTGTTTTTCATAATACCGAATTCACGTATGTTGCTCACTCACTTTTATCAATTTCTCTTTGAGGAACGAAGTATGTACTCATTGAAAACTCAGCTGATTTCAGTTGATTTCATGAGTCTCTATGAGCTGACAATCAAAAATGGTTTTTATTTTTTTTTGCGTCATCACCCAAAGACGATTGTACAACTCTGGATACTAACAATCGAAACGTCGTGAAGTAACTTGGCTTGGAAACTCTTAACTTTTTATTTTTGATTTTTTTCAATTGTCCTATTTTTACTTGTATTTTATTTCACTATTTTTTCATTTCAGGTGTTTTTTTGCTTGATATAATTGTTATTTTTAGCTATTTTTTACCAATTCATTTTCATTATTAGTTCTTTCAGGGATTTCATTCTTTTTTATCCAATATCATCTAATTCTCTAATCGCAGCCTAATCAACGTGGAGATATATTTAATTGATGAAATGATAAGCCCAGTTGAAACAGTAAATATGTTAGGAATTATGANATTAGTAAGAGAAACGAATTCATCGATTTCGTTATTATTGAAATTATTTTTCTCTAGTAATTCCCTGAGGTATTGCAAGGTCTGTGGAATTGGGACGCTAGGAAATAAGGAACTAACATAAAAAAAAACAAGTCTCACCTTCTTGCAGAACCACGTTTTTTGTATGTTGTATGAACTTGGTTCCGCAATAGATAAGGTTTCAAATTCTTTAGTGGGCCACTTTGCTAATTGGTAGGTAGGAGCTCCAATAGCTGACACGATAGGGCGCATTGATTTTCCTGGTTTGTGGATTTTGGTTTCTTTTGATGTTAGTTCCTTATTTCCTAGCGTCCCAATTCCAGAGACCTTGCAATACCTCAGGGAATTACTAGAGAAAAATAATTTTAATAATAACGACATCGATGAATTCGTTTCTCTTACTAATTTGTGTATGAAACAAAACCGGTTCCAGGTAGAAGGTTGCTTTTATGAACAACAGGAAGGAACGGCCTTGGGAAACTCCTTGACACCCTACCTGACAGACCTCTTCATGAGCAGATTCGAAATGGAAACCAAAGAAAAGTCGAAGTATTTTCCTAGGATTTGGCTAAGGTATGTGGATGATATTTTTACGATATTCGATACCAAAAAATCGAATATTGACGACTTTGTTTCCATTTTAAATAATAGATGTTCATCAATAAAATTCACGTATGAGTTATATAATAAGGGAAAACTACCATTTCTTGACGTTTTGGTAATGAGGAGCCAATATGGAGGGTTAGAATACGATATACTTAGAAAAGAAACAAGCACGTACAGGTATATTCCTGACAGTTCAGATCACTGTGGACAGCACAAACGTGCTGGGTTGAATTTTTTAATGCGTCTTTTGACTTTCCCTCTAACACATGATAGGTTCACAAAAGGAAGACGTACAATACAGGAAATAGCAGCCACTAACGGTTTCTCGAGGGGTATTGTAGATGACATAATAAGGAAAAAGAAGTTTAGGTTAAGAATGAACGGTTATGAAGGTGGTTTTTAAAACAAGCCATACACTACAGAAACCTTTGGGAATTCCGAAAGACAAAGTCGAGAATTCAGAAAAGTCTGGAATTTACGAAATTGAATGTAAGGACTGCGATGCAAAATATTATGGACCTACAAAAAGATCTATTGAAGTAAGATATAAGGAATACATAGCACACTTAAAATATGGAAGACCTGAAAAATAAGCAGTCGCACATCATATTTTGCAACAAAACCATTACATAGACTTCAGTTCATTAAGATTAGTTAGACAAGTTGTTAGTTAGACAGGTGTTGGGAAAAAACTCTATAGTCCGTTCATAATTTGTTGATAGCTCACTGCAAGTTT